AGACATATTTCGCAATGGACGGAGATATGCAACCATTTGTGTCCTCCTCATGAGCGCGTCTCTAACAGCCACTGTTCAAGAAGGAGGGACACACTAATGAGGAATTCACAAATCGTTATGGGTCTCCGCCCATCCAGTTATCCTGGAGTGTGCAATTAAAAAAGTGGACTAATGAACTTACCGACTCTTTCTGCAATTTATGGTATATATCCACGATGTTGTGCATTCTGTGCAGGAACCACTTGTCTATATGAGTCAGCTCATAGGTTTTCTCTACGTCAAAGTCTCCGTAGAACATTCCACGGGCGATTGCAAACATGCGCTTGTCCGTCGGTTTTGACAGGTCCTGAAACGATGGGGACGCGATCTGCATTTAGTCATACAAAAGAGATGAAGAAGGAGGAAATGACATCTGTAAAGGGAAAGAATAAGAAGGAAGCTCGTTCGTGACTTTTTTCCGAAGGTCTTTCTGGAAAACTCACCGCATCAGTTGGCTTTCTCAAGAAAGCATCTGGTGAGAAGCCATCTGCATGATCGCTGACCATTCTCAGTGCTTTCTGGAATGCCTCTTCGAATGACCTGCCGATTCCCATCACTTCGCCGACAGATTTCATTGAACTTCCAATCTGAAAACAATTCAATCAGCAGGAACAAGGCTCTCAAGCAATGTGAAAAGTTTGGAAAACTACCTGCTGGCTCACTCGAGCAAACTTGCCGAGATCCCATCGAGGAATTTTCACCACACAGTAATCTAGTGACGGTTCAAAGCATGCTGTTGTGGTACCTGAAAGGACAGAGCTATTCATTGATGCTAACCTCAATCCACTTCCTGCTGGTCTTTGAGCTGCTCTGAAATCAAACTACAATTTTATGAGATAGGTTCCTAGTTTATGAGGGGCGGACGGTGGTTTAGTAACAAAGGGCGCTTACCACTCGTGCGGTCCTGGAGCGAAATCCCGGGTCGACACCCGCCCAGGCCAACCAAGCCTTCTACCCTCCGGGACGGTAAATTGGTACCAGATTCGTCTGGGAGGATAAAACACTGACTTGTACATCGGCTGGCCACCGCAAGTCATTGTAGTCATTTTCGCAATAGGATCTGATAGCGCATGCATTAAAAGCAGTACTTATTAATGATGCGCTATCAGATCCCTATCCAACACCCAGCGGCGTGCCGCAGGGCACATGCCTTGGACCCCTAATGTTTTTAATATACATAAATGACCTACCACGTTTCTTGCCTAAGGGAATAAGTTGCACTATGTACGCGGATGATGTGAAGCTATTTTCTATTGATGACCCAAAAATACTGCAACGATCTTTAGATGCATTATGGCAGTGGTCTGTCACTTGGGGCTTGGAAATATCTGCTGAAAAACCTATGTGCTGAAATTAGGGCCTAACCCCAACAACATAGACTTCACTCTCAATGAGATTAGAATTGAGGAGCCTTCGTTAGTCAGGGATCTCGGTATAAAGTATGACAAGGCTCTTTCTTTTGAAGACTATATAAAAAGCTCTATCCATCTAGCCAAAGCACGTTCAAATTTTATTTTGCGCGCTGAATTTTTCTATGAGGCCACCAAGAACGCTCTTCCTGCTCTTTACGGCTTATGTTAGACCGCTTTTGGAGTACTGTTCACCAATTTGGTCACCATATTCTCGCTGCTTAGTAGATGAGATAGAAGGCAAGGTACACGACGAAGTTCAACTCGAGAGAGATATTTGGCGCAGAGCGGAGCATGTTCCATATCAGCATATGAAGAATGGCTCAGATGTTACTCCACAACACTTGAGACTGAGAAAAAGGTTATAGAGTTGCGATGCTTGCTATACAAGCTTTTAGAGGGATGTGTGACTTTGGGGGAACCCTTTTGACGAGCTGTTTAGGAGATCTTTAACTATAGCGGGTAACGCGACGCGGGAACATTGCTTCAGGCTGCTGAGGGAGAAGGCTCGTTCAGATATGTACAAATATAGCTTCACGCAGAGAGTCATATCTTTTTGGAACAGCCTACCAGCCGATGTAGTTAGCTCAATGTCATCGAGATCTTTTAAGAATAAGGTCAATAAGATTCTGAGAACACAGGGCTGGTACTAGGGGGAAAGGGCATTACGAAAGTGATGCATTTTAACTCAAGGACAGATGTAGGAATGTTTTTGACCTTATTTGTCAGGCAGTTGTAAGATCTGTGCTTGAGCTCTAAACCTTTCTTTCATCTTCTTTTTAATTCCCTCCGACTTCACTCATCAATTGCTTTCATATGACTCAGTTGCTGATTGTTGCTTACTTATGTTGCTTGTGTATTTGTCAGCAGTTTGTCTCCTACTAATGAGTTGTTATATATTGGCTGTTTAATAGTAATTGTTTCCCTTCCCCAGAGTTTGAACCACTTCTTTCTCCCCCCCGCACCACTTCGGCACGATGCTAAGTGGACCTTGGTGGAGTTGACGGACCTACTAAGATGGTATCCGGAGCCGCTCTTCTCTCCTCTCGCGACTTGCAGTGTTGGTGGGCCACTGCTCTGCACCACCAAGTGTTCCATGGCCTCTCTGTTGCCGCTCCTTCCCGCTTATTCTTCCGCTCAATCCATTGTCTACAACTTATTTCCATGTGCTGCTTTGTTTTTTATCATTTGTTCATTAATTGCATGCTGCCGCTTATCGGTCAATTTCAATAACTATGTTGTGTTTTGTTCTGCTTTACTAACCGATAATAAATCATAATCATAATCATTACTAGGCCATTTTCAGCAATTAACACTACGCTTTCTGCTAGCGAAATAAGGGTGCCTGCGGAATCCCACAAAGTAACTGATCATGTGAGATTTATACTTTTTATCCTTTCAGGCCAGCCTAATGCTTAAAGCATGCCCCTCCCACTGTGGGCGTGATCTCAAACACCACAGACAGACGGCTCAATTTCCTCAACGTTTCTTCTTTCTCCAAAATTTCTCTTTGATCTCTTAGTTTCTTTCAGGAAGAGTCATGGAGTTTATTGGAGCAAGCATCGCCCATCTCAAGACGCTCACCCATTCGGCGCATTGTCCGCCGTCAACCCTTGCAGACCTTACTGGCAATTTCTTCCACTTCTATGGGTAAAGAACCGAATCTTCTGCCTTAACAGAGGGCTCTTGCGTAAGGTAATCCGAGCAAGGGGCCGCTTCCTTGATTGTCCAGTTCTTCCCCTAGTACTGAGCAATGCAGTTTCGCCTTCAGCACTTAATAATTAGCCTTTCCTTACCATTCTCAGGATTCCAATTGAAATACACCAAGCATGAGAAATTCTTTACCTGTGACACTTTCACATAACTGGAAGTTATTGGCCAGTGCCATAGCCGCCACATAAGTACGCGAATATCCGGGTGCTTTTTGACGCAGGGCAGACGATGTGACGAAGTCGAGATTCACTTCGATATATAGCTTGAGTGAAGAAAGAGAGCATACTGAGCAAATTTGAAGACTTTTGCCCATCCTAGTGTTCAAAAACGTACTGTAAGCGATGACGGATCCAGAGCATACTGTATGTTACACTCTCCAACAATTCCCAGATGACGAATCACTTTGATTGCACACGTACGTAACATGTTGTACTCTTTGTTAGTTAGTGTTTGAGATGGTGCAACCTGAAACTGGCGATAACTGCCAAGGAATCGGCGGAACTTCGCTTCTAATAATGAGTCTCTTCGAAGGGGGGGGGTACACTCCGCACATTCGCTACTTCCTGTTGAAATGCACGGGTAAAACCAACATTTTCATGTGTAAAAAGATTCCATGCTACAGCTCAAGACTCCATGCTTGCATGCTAAATGCCCCCACCAAGCCGAACTACACTCATTTTCATAGCTCAAGGTTATGTTGTCCCAGAGACTCTTCAACCTCAAAGGCAGTGGGAAGGATTGCAAGAGGCGGATGGCTGTTGCCAGCGTCACTGGTGCAAGAGCTGCACAGCGCGTCTTGGCTACAGCCCAACCAGCGCTTCCTCCAATGATGTTGGCGACAACCGCCCGCCTCCAGCAATCGTGCCCACAGCCTCTAATGAAGGAATTCAGGAATCAACAAACAACCGCAGCCATCCCTGCTGTAGAACATTCAGATCCGATCCCACTTTTCACAAGCCTTTGACAGTGCTTGAGCTATGTACACTCCATATCTCAAAGATGAGGAGGGCGTGGCTGCTTACTTCATTCAAACGTGCGGTAACGGGACTTCTGGTGGTATATCGCCATGTTGGGACCACTGTCGCCACGTCTTTGGCCTGCACAAGATAGGATGACATGTGCCTTTAATACACTATGTCTCACGAAATACACTTTCTACGCCGTGTTCAAATGAAGTACGCAGCCACGCCCTCTCAATCTTCGTGATAGGAGTGTACTGAACGTCTGTTACTGACTCCATATGACCTCTACATGCACTAGGAGTCGTACTGCATACCGAATAAATGCTTCCAAACGAACGCCCCTGCTTTCATTGGCGCGATTCGGCGGTGGAGGGAGGGGTCTTTGATAAGTACTGGTATCACTTCATGGCTTGACAAAATTTCACAAGTCCCTATCTGATAGCTCGATACGACAGTGGGAAGTAGCGAGAGTGCAAAATGTCCCCCCCCCCCACCCCACCAAGCGGAACTCGCCCTTTCATCATTTCATTCTGTCAATTCAGAAAATCTTACCACAACAGATTCTCCCGTGTGAATACCCAACGGATCGATATTTTCCATATTACATACAGTAACGCAGTTATCGTACGCGTCACGAACCACCTCATATTCGATCTGAGACAAAAATATTCTTTTGACACTGAAAAAGACATCAAATTTACTACGGGTTCATGGGACAGACCTCTTTCCATCCTTTGAGACTCTTATCGATTAGCACTTGATCTGAATGAGCTAGTGCTTGTTGAGCAATCGCGACAAGTTCTGCGCGATTCTGCGCAAATCCTGAACCAAGACCTCCCAAGGCGAAAGCGGCTCGCACCAGCACTGGGTAGCCGATCTGTGACAGTATCGGTAAATATCATTATCGGTACGATGATCCCGCCGAAAAAATGGAACCCCAACAT